GCCTATTCTGGGGCACTAAAAAGACATGCAAAATTTCTGCATGTTCCTCAGCATCACAAAGTTTTAATAGCCTCAAATCAGTCTGTGCATTTCAAGCGATTCCATCAATATTCCAATGGGATGTTTTTCCCAAACTGCAAACCTAAATTTAAAATTTACATGAAAGAATAAAAGTTTTAAAGTGTTTAAAAAAAAGAGTAACACGAATAGATCTACCCGAATATAAAACTACAGTGAGAAAAGCATGAGGCATTAGCTCAGGGACAGAAGGAAAGATCAGTGAAACCAGGTACAGAGTCAACAGATAAACACAACTCTGCACGGCGACCTCATACACGCTACAAACGCCGTCATAAAACTCGCCGTTTACGCAACAGTGTTGAGAAAAATGGGAAAAACACGTGGGGTAAAAACAGTTCAATATCCCTCCCCACACATTATCTTAAAGTTAATTCCTGATTCGTTCTGAATAAAAAGAAACCTTGAAAGTTCTGTCGTATCTATAACTTGGGCATGGGGTGCCAACGCCCAGGGCACGAACCGAAGGGAAAAGATGGTAAGCAGGGAAATTAAACTCTGGTGCATCAAAGACACTGTCAACAGAATTAAAATACAAACCACAACCTGACACTGATATTTGCAACCAATTTACCAGAGAGTGCACATCACATCTATAAATATACATCGAAACTCCTTGAAGGATTAAAAGGGACACTGATAGAAAGACGAACAAAAGACAGAAGAGGGCCGTTGCACACACACGCACACCCACAGGCTGATAAGCACCACTTAAAAGGAGGTTTGACTTCACGAGTAATCAAAAACGCGATGCTATTTTTGCTTATCTAATTGGCAACATTAAAATTTTTTAAAAAATCGATTAGCACCCACTATGAGAGAAGGTGTGCTCTTCTGGTGCAGATGGAAATTGGCACAGGGTGAGCTGGATTTCAGGCCTTTTAAACAGGCTTGGGCCAGCCCCGTGGCTCACTCGGGAGGGTGCGGCGTGGGTAGCGCCGAGGCTGCGGGTTCGGATC